AAAAAAAAACTCCTCTCTGAGCCATTCCTGTCCAGACAGAGCCCCACTCTGAAGGTCTGGATTCCCAAAGCCCCACTGTGAAAGCCTGTGATTCCCAGAGCACTCCTCCTGAAGGTCAGCATTCCCAAAACCCTGATTCCCTGAAGTTCAGGAATCCCAGAGCCATTCCACGAAGGTCTTTGATTCCCAGAGCCATCCTCTGAAGGTCTGGATTTCCAAAACCCTCCTCTGAAGGNCAGGGGTGGCACTGGATGGTCTTGAAGGTCCCTTCCCACCCAAACCATCCTGTTTCCATGGTTCCACACCTCTCACACCTGTTCTTCACCCTGTTTCCAGTGTCCCATTCCTTATCTCTAAAACCACGGATCTCTAAAGTCCAGCGTGCAAATCTCTGGGAATAGATCTGAGGTGCTTGGTGCTCCCCTCAGTTATCCCTGTGCTCCAGAAGCAGCTCTGGAAACAGTTCTGATGGCTGGAGACACGTGAAGGGGTCTGAGCAGATCCTGGGAAAGCAAAACGTGCGTTTTCTGGAACGCTGAGTTGTTCAAACAGCGACGTTTTGGATGGGAAGTGATTCCTCAAAGACAGTCTAGACTCCGACTCGGAGCTTGGGGGTGGATTTTTTTGACATTCCCTGTTCTTCTCAAAGGTGACAGCGAGGGAATGAACAGGTTTGGCTGGAAGGGACAGAAATCTCACCTCAAAGGAGCTGATACCAGCAACAAACCAACCCGGAGCCGCGTTTATCTGCCACCTTCCACTGCTTCCCACCTAATTTAGATCACAAGCTCCAGGGCTCCAAAGCTTTGGGGAAACATGATGAAAACAGCACATTTGACAGCTGAAAATTATTCCACTCACGTAGTCCCAGGTTCTCTGTTTTCCCTGGAAACAAGGGCAGGATAAAGCAGCGGAGCAGAGTTGGGTCACCTGAGGTTTTTGTGCTCCTGCAGTAAGAGCAGGTTCAAAGTGTGGAAATCACCTGAAAAATCTGAGTGTTGTTCTGGAACAGAGGCTTTGCTTAAGTAAGAAAAATCCCATCAACCAAAGGTGAGAATTTAATGGCGAAAAGGATGAAACCTCCTCTCAAAAAATACTGATTTTGAGCCATTTTCAGTGGGTGCATTAAATGAGTTCGATTTAAACTGCAGCAGGACACTCTGGAATCAAACTAAGCACCCAGAAAACTTTGCACTAAGGCAGCTGTGCTAATTTACAAAGGAGTTCAACAAAACCTTGCTTGGTGGGCAAGACCCAGAAGCCATTTAACCCACCTTCTCCCCGACCCCCCAGCTGGGAGAGTGGGAGAAGTTCATTTCCCACAGGACACAGCTCATTGTGAAGCACTTGGAAGGTAAGGGAGGTGCTGGCAC